AAAAAAAAGGATGACATTTGGCTTCGAGGGTGAATAGTCAAATTTTAACGCACCATAAAAGCTGTAATAATCGTTGAACTAACATTAAAAGAACACTTCAAATATGAGCGCAACAGTGTAGACAGCATGCATGTATACGAGAATTTCTTCAATAAAATTAAATGTAATGGTAGATCACGTCTAGTGGAATAATCGATCTTATATACATAAATTGCTCAATTGCAAATATGTGGTATCATGCTTGATATCGGCAAAGAATGATGACTGTGCCAATAAGCAACCTTATTTTCGTTCGCTTCGCTATGGAGCAACACCTTCACGATAGAATGTAGGCTGCAATAAATGTGATTAGAACAATTATTGAAATTGATATAGGAAGATTGATTAAGATGTTTGCCTAGATGTAAATCAAATGATACCAACTTTTGAGTTTCACACTGCTAGCTCGATTAACGAACCTCTTGCAACAATCAGGTAGTCATGGCGCACACGGTGCGATTAAAAATCGCACATCAGAAAATAATACGAATATGAATATACTGATTACTCAAATGAGCAAAAATCAGCTTCCTTCAGTCATCAATTATATGCCTGCCTTTTCTAAAGTTCAGGTGTTATGCGATTACGCAATGCAACTAAAGGCATACTAAACCAATAAAACCCCACTAAGAAGCTGAATCAAAACTTATTTCACAAAAATCGTGGCCCGCAGACTGACTACTTATAAAAACATATTCAAACAATGTGAAACAAAGCCTGCTTTGGAATACGCAAGCTTCCCAATAAATTTGCGAAGATAGCCAGCGAACTCTAAAAAGAAAATATGCTTCGCTGAAGCAAAAAAAAATGTATATATCTAGCTATACTGAAACACAAGAAGCAACTTTCAATTCGCATAGTGAAAAACACAAAATGGTATGAAATAATTCAAGAAAAGATGCAAATGAGTATGATGCAGAGGATAGACAAGTTAATGAAGTGAAGTGAATGCGCACACTTATGTGCTCCAAATTAAATCGTTGCAAGTTTGAAATTTAACGTGGTATCACAGTCACTATCCTTTCTAATCAAATGCATGTGGCCGTAACGAGTGCAAAAGTTTTCGGACATGCTTAATCCAAACAACATTTCCATACTGTACGGCAGTGTCTTACTGTAAACATACTATAAGTGCACTGAACAGCCATGTTCTCATAATTCGCTGACTGTTAGTGAGGTTACATGACATGCAGAATTTGAAAGTGATATGCGTTTCCCGAAATGGTTTGCGTTAAGTCACGGTAATGCCTCAAGGTGCGGTTCGCAGTGGAAGCACCGTAACTTTGAAAAGGTCAACTCATGCAACTGATAAATATTAGAATGTAGCATATCAAAGAACCTCACTGTGGCTTTTTACACAATACTATGAACATGACTTTTATGCAATTATCGTAGGCAATAAGGGCCACTGGTGACACGGGTATGCCATTCGAAATCAATGTGCCCAACCTTTATGCATACGTTATTGCATATGATACGCAAGAGCTAAGAACTAAGGAGCACCATGTGCTCTTAGGATCCATACGTGTTAACCTACTTTCAGCCCAAAAAGCCAAAGCGAACGCAAACTCCAAACAAAAAATACAAAAACTACCTTGCTATCATCTCTTGCTATTTCTTCTTCCGACTCCGACGATGATTCACTATTAACGTCCTCTACATGCAAATTCGATCGTGGTGGAGGTACGGGGAACATTTCTCTTTGGCTTGTTACAACCTCTGAAGAGGATACCGGTCTACTGTTCACAACACCACTTAGACGAGTGAAACACTGAAAAATGAGGTTCAGCCCCTCTTTCGTTGCCCATTTAGAATGGTGGCGTTAAAACGACTTACTGCGTCACAAACTCTAACTGGTTTCTTGTTCAGACTATCGATGCGGTATGTATGTGTAGAACAGGAGCCACAAACAACCTTCCCGCATGATCGGCAATGATGCTATAAGAGACTTCATGTTATGGAGATAGACATTGAATCATTTACACTCACCCTTCTTTGAACAACGTTGAATTGGGTGCGTCCGCATGCCATGCACCGTGCTGCTTCACCGTCTGGAATCCAAACTGCAGCATGCTCCTTAGCTGGTTTCTTGTTACCTAGGATATAGATTTGAAAAATCGAACATTCACAATTGCTCATCAAGGACTAGCAAAATCGGTTTCGGAGGTTATGAACAATTAACAAACGAATGCAAGTCTGATGAACAAAAATGCATTGCCACAGGCTTAAAAGCTCTGATCAAATATAGAGGAAGCATGAAAGCGGCCAAAACGTTTACTAAACGCACTTTTTTCTAGTAGATCCGCAACACAACGTTCTATATGAGACATCCATTCCTTCTTTTCTGTGGGTGTAGCAGCATAAACAGCGAATGATTTTTCAGGAGTCTTGATAATCCATCCATTCTTCATCGCTAGAACAAGTTTGAAGTTTATCAACAAGGACATTATTGTAAAGGGCAGTATTCTTGCACTTATGATTCATTGAGGAGCGACATAACAGTTAGTGTGAAGTAGTACTTGCAATTTCATATCATTGCACATAGAAGCTACAATAATTTAGTAAGAAGCTAGTAAAATTTATAAAATGCCTGACCAATCAATAAAAGATACCATAACTTCACCTTAGGTGGGACCCCTACACAAAAATCTGACAGCGAAATGGACATGAAGTGATTGTCGCTCGTAAAAATCATCCATGCAAACGAGGAACATATCTTATTGGAATGCAACTTACCAATCAGGCTTTTAAGCATAAAAGTAGTTTCTTTAGAAAGCATGTGAATCTATGGTTGATGTAAAAACAATCTACAGCTTTCGATAAATAGGATTTGGGGCTCCTCTACTACTACCACGAATTTAGAATGTAATATAGTTAATAACTTGAATTCTACTAGTAGTTATGATTCTTCCAAAGACTCTTCAAGCACGAAACAACGTTGCTACTTATCTTGGAAGGTATCAAAAAAGTGTTCTTCCTTGACAAGCAGTCAATTCCAGGATTACCGTAAAAGCATTGCAGTTCAAATTCAGCTAATTATTGCTGTTTTCGATTTTGAAGAGAAACATCCAAAATTCTAATTTTCCGCCCCCTGAATGACCGCAGATAGAGAGACAGAGTGGAAAAATATGTACAACATCTCAAATCAACTTGATCCCTCACTAGATATAAGTTTCATTGAGTATGTCTGCCTGTGATTGCTTGCGATTAAACACAAGACAACTGTTCTGCTGATTGCGAGTACCATTAAACACGTGAAAAACATCAAGGGACCAACCTCCTTCGTCTGGTAAATCTTCTAGTTCCACATTTTCCAAAGCTATTATTCGTTGTTTGTTGTAACGCTTTTTGGATATTACAATATTTCCATAGACTAGAATGTCGTTGAACAAGAAGAACTGACGTTGCTTTGGCTTCTTTCTGAAAGCATAGACATTGTAGTGATGTGACAACAGAAGCACTGAAGATGGTCGGCGGTAAGAGTACAT